CGCAGACCTGGGGCCCCGCTCCTGCCACGCCGGCCCCAGCCTGACCCCCGCAGTCCCGCCACCCGAGGGGCACTGGCTGTGAACGTCACCCTGGCCGAGGAGCCCGGCTCAAACCTCCCAACCGAGAGCGGTGGGATCAGCCACGCCTCCGGCTTCAGGAAAGGACTCCTGGAAAGTGCCCAAGAGCCTTCCCGGCATCTGCCCAGAAGCGTGGTGGGCTCCGGGGAAGGAGCCTGGACCGCATCCGAGGTCCTCCATCCTGTCGCTGCAGGGAGGGAAGAGGCGCCCTGGGAAGAAGGTGCCTTGAAGGTGGTCAGCACCGCCCTCCCTTCGCTGGCCGGGGGTACAGCGCTGGCGAGTCCAGCCAACGTGTCCGGGACCCAGGGGGACTCGGGGACCCTGGGCCTGTCCCCGGAAGGGTTGCTGCGGACTTTCCTTCCCTGCTTGGTGTCCTTGGTGTTCTGGGAGCTGCTGGCGGCCCCTCTGGAGCAGGTGGCGGACGACAGCCTGTTTGAGTACCTGGATGTTGTGGACGCCACCGACCGGCACAGAACCCTTTGGGCCTGGAAGCTGCTGGGCACGGCGGCGGGCGTGTGCGGCATCGCAGCCTTGGTGGAGCAGCTGGACTGCTCCCTGCAGGCCAGCGGCCCCCGGGGGGTGGTGTCCTTCTACGGCTACGCGCTGGTCAGCGTCCTGGCTCTGCCGGTCAGCACTGTTTTCCCCGTCCCCCTGTGCAGGCGGCGGGAGCCCAGCTGCAAAACCAGCAAAGCGCTCTCTCTGGTGGAGGGCGACCCCCGCCTCCTCCTCCTGGCCATCACTGTCTTTCTGGTCGGAGCCGTCACCAGCACCACCCAGAACTTTCTGTTCTGGCACATGCAGGACCACGGCAGCAGCGAGCTGGTGATGGGCTTCTCCGTGGCCCTGGGCTTGCTGGGGGAGGTTCTCCTCCACCCGTTCAGGGCCACGTTGCTTAGAAAACTGTCCAGACTGGGAACCCTAGGGCTGGGGCTGGGCTGCCTCTCGGGGCAGCTGCTGTACTACTCCTTCCTCTGGAGCTGGTGGTCCGTCCTCCCAGTGCAGGTCTTGAGTGCCGTCAGCCATGGGGCTCTGTGGTGGGCGGTGGGCGCCTCCCTAGAGGACCTGGCCACCCCCGGAATGGAGAGACCTCTGAGTGCCATGTTCCGAGGCCACTTCTATGGGGGTGGGGCCAGCCTGGGCAGCTTCGTGGGGGGCTTCGTGGCGAGGCGCTTCAGCCTGGCGGTGCTCTACCAGGCCAGCTGTGCCGTCCTGGGGCTCTGGCTGGCCCTCTTCCTGTCCGTCCGGCCCAGGCTGCCCCAGGAGCCGAGAGTCAGCTACTCGAAGCTGCTGGTCGTGGAGGCAAGTGACACGAGCGACTCCGAGCAGGGGACCGAACGGGACTGTCTTGTGAAGGCCAGTCTGGGAAGGAGCCAAAGGACTGGACAGAACTCGGCCTGCTGAGGACAGAGTCCCCGCGTCCTGCCCGGGGCTCCACGGGCCTTGGGAGAGAGAGGGCACGTCGATGCGGAAGCCCCACAGGTTCCTCTCCCTGTCGGATTGCAGCTCAATTTTGTAAAAAGTCATGGAGGAAAAAAGAACATTTGCTAAAAAAACAAAGTTCCCTCTGTGGTCACTGCCTTTTGGTCTATGAGGTTTGCCAGAGCTTTACTAGTACGGATCCTGTGCTGCTGAATCCGGCCATGGCGGGAGCGCTGGGATCAAACCGGCAGTGCCAGGGTGACCATGGGGCCTGCAGGATTCCAGCAGCAGAGGGAGCAGCTGGCTTTGATGAGTCCTGTGCATTCCTGTGGGTCCTAAAGGGCCTGTGCCTGATCCTATTAGAGCCACGCCTGGGCAGGTAAGAGTTGTCATGAAAACCAGAACTCTCTCTCTCTCCCCACTGATACACGGGTGCCCACACTCACACCCAGGTACTTAAGTTTCCAATAAGAGAAGATGATGGAGATGTAATATGTCCAGGGGAGAGGAGGTGGGAGTTCATGGGTTTTCATTCTTACTCTCAAATGTGTCACCGGGGATAGAATCCTGAGAACTGCCTTCCATTCTTATGTCAGAGCAAAGGCAATGTCACGTCCTTTGGACTCGCATTTTACACACTCCCCTCACCTCTGCTTTGATTAGTGTGCGGCGGCCTCCGTAGGGTTCAGGTGCCACAGGTAGTCCACACGGCACCTGTGCCTAATCACTTGGTTGGGCGCTTTTGCAAACCCTCCCCACATCCCAGAAAATGGTCCTTTATTCCAGGGAACAGAGCCCAAGTCTTCTATCTTATAATCAGGTGAGTGTAGGATATTGGGTTTAGAAGGGGCCTCAAGCGCAGAAAATGTCTCATAGCTGGGGAAAGGGACACACCAGGATGTCCAATGGGTTAGTCATGGTTCTAGCAACTTTGACTTAAAAGTTCCTAAGGGTTCAAATAACCAACAAAAAATAACCTCTACCTTCAATACTAGTAATTAGGGATTCATTTGTCTTACATAAGAAGTCTAGGGGTAGGCAGTCCAGAACTAGTACAGCCGCTTCGAGATGCCACCGGGGACCCAAATCTTTTCATCTCTTTGCTTCATCATCTTTGGCATATAGGTCTCCCTCCCATATTGTTCACTCTTACACGGTGGCTCTGCAACTGCAGGCCTCTCATCCATGCTCCAGGGAGCGAGAGGATTGAATGCCTAGGTCAGGAAAACAAGAAACTTCCCAGAAATTCATAGCCTCCGTCTGCTCACGTGGCCACCCTGAACTGCAAAGGCGTCTGGGAGGTGGAGTGTTTTCCAGTGGGCACATTTACACCCCAAGCAAAATCAGGGTCCTGTGAGGAAGAAGAGGGGCTGGCACTGCCTAGCCCAGTGCCAGAAGCGGAGCTCACATTCAGGCCTGTCTCGTTCCAAAGCCTGCGTTCTTTCTGCACAGCAAGCCTGCTTCCCACAGAAATGCCCTTAGCAACTAGACCTCCCACCGCAACCCTAGGAATAACGCAAATTTGTTCGCTGCATTTTACAAAAAGAAAATGGAGTCTTGGAAAAGTCACACAGTGGGTCACGGGCACAAACACCACCAGAGCCCTGATCTCCTTTACCCCAAATTTAGTGCGTTTTCTGCTGCGCCAGCAGGTCCACGCCTGCCTGGCCACCCAAGTCACCTGAGGAGCATATCCAAGAAGACAGGTTCCTGGGCTCCTTCAGAATCTCTCAGGTGGGGCCCAGGATCCCCCAGCGATGCAAACTCCAAGCGAGTCTGTGGCGAACCACGCCCTGCATGCCTCGCCACTCCTTTGCTGAATGCTTCTTAGCCCGAAGTGAAAAGAACAGTAGCTACTGAGTGTTACTCTATGTAGACACTGTTCTAAACACTTCACAGGTGTCACTCCTTTAGTCCTGAAGCACCTTAGCTGGAAGCCATTATTACCATATCCAATTTCCAGATGACAAAGCTGACCGCTAAGTAACTGGCTTGAGGACACACAGCTAGTAGGTGGCAGAGCGGGGCTTCTGAGCCAGCCTGGGGCCGAAGCCTGAAACTCATCTCTGCTCTGTGGCCAAGAAATTGGACAAAAGATGGAACATTAAATATTAAGGTTTAAGGCGGCTATCACTTGAAATCTACTGGGTAGAGATAGCATTCACTATGTAGACAGAGCATACAGTAATACCAAAATGCAAGCACATGTGTGTTCCTAACATAAGCAAGAGGGTGAGGAACAAGCGCTGGCTTAAGGAAAGAGCTGAGAAAGTGAGTGTGGTTCCGCAGGAAGAAGAGGAAAAGGAGGAGAAAGAGGAGCACGAGGTGGAGGAGGAGGAAGAGCTGAAAGGAAACTGAGTGATATCATGGTTTAAGGATCTAAACATGCTGAGAAATTTGTTTTTCTGGCTATTTATTATTTGACTAGCCTCTGTTTGTAAAGAATTATGCTACTTATCATGGAAAATACAAGAATGAATAAAACACATAACCTCCTACCCTCAAGATTTTCTGGGAGATTTACTTCTTTTTTTAAAAATATATTTTTATTGATTTCAGAGAGAGAAAGAGATAGAAACATCAATGATGAGAGAGAATCATTGATGGGCTGCCTCCTGCACCCCCCCTCCTGGGTATCGAGTCCGAAGCCCTAGCACCCCTGACCTGGAATCGAACCGTGACCTCCTAGTTAATAGGTCGATGCTCAACCACTGAGCCACACCGGCCAGGTGGGAGATTTACTTCTATACGTACACACATACATAGGAAGCACAAGATACTGAAAAATGCCACACACACACATACAGGCACATGCACACACACAAAGCAGTACAGGAGTTTAGGGAAGAGAGAGATTTCTGCCTCAAGAAGTCAAGGAAGATTTTGTGGCATTACATTTCAGCTAAGCTTAAAGGACAGGAAAGCTAATCAAAGAGAGGGTGGTAACTCGGGGAAGGGCATTCCAGGCAGAGGGAGGAGTGTGAGCAATGTTACAAAGGTGGCAAGTATGGGGTCTTCTTGGAGAATAGCAAGAAATATCAAGACTGGAAAGATGGCTTAGAACCAGATCAAGGAAGGTTTGATTCGGTAGACTTTAGGTAAACCATGGAAGGTTCTGGACAGGGTCATGATAGGTGAGGACCGTGCTGAGCTTTCTTTAAAAAAAAAAAACACCACTAGCTTTATTGATGTATTAATTGACAGGTAATAAACTGCACACATTTAAATTGTACAATTTGATAAGTTTTTAATATATATACACCTCCGAAATCAACACCACGATCAACATAGTGAACATATAGATGCCCCCCCCAAATTTCCTCCTGCCCCTTCGCAATCCCTCCTTTCTCCCTCACTCTACCTGGTCTTAGCACTGCTTTTTAAGGTCTACTTTCTGTCACTATACAGGGGTGGGCACAAGTAGATTTACAGTTGTGATAATCAGAGCCTGCACGTCTTTTTCCATATGAACAACTATAAACCTCCTTTTGTCGACCGTGTCTGCATTTTTAGAGACTTTCATAAGTACTCCTCTATGTCCGACTTCTTTCACTCGGCATAATTGCAGTGACTTCTGACACCAACTACCCGGAGTTAGGCCATACTCTGCAGGTTAAGGGCACACAACTGCCCTCAATTCAGACACCCTCACTTCTGACTAACTGGCTACAGATTTGAAGGGGCTCACTCCCCACTCAGGTTCAATAATTCATTAGAACCATTCACATGGTTCAGGAACGCTCTATACTTAGGATTACGGTTTCATGATAACCAAAGGACACAAATCAGAAGCGGCTGAAAGAAGAGATGCAGGGGGCGCGGTCTGGGAGGTCCCAAGTGTGAGGTGTCCCGTCCTCTCCCTGTGGAGTCAGAATGTATCCTGCGGTCAGCACACTGATGCAACAATGGAGGGAGTATTACCAACCAGGGAGACTCACCAAGCTTTGGAGTCCGTGGCTTTTAGTGAGGCTTCATTATATAAGCCTGACTCGTTGAATCATTGGCCTGTGGCTCAATTTCCAGTCCCTTTCTCCTCCCCAGAAATCAGAAGGGCAGGATATTATGTGGCTCAAAGTCTCAAATTTCTAATATGTGATTGATCTTTCTTGCATGGACAATGCGTCTTCAGAGTCACCGCATTCGCACAAACACAGGTGTGGTCTGAGAGGCCCATCATGAATAACAAAATCATGTACACAAACAGAACAAGACAGGACGAACAGGACAAGCTAAATGTCACAGGAGAAGTTCAAACAGTGAGCACTTCATGAAGTCTGGGGCAGGTACGGTGGCTGAGGGCTGGGCGCTCAGAGACACCCTGAGGAGATGATGAAGGATAGGCTTGCACATTGAAGAAAGAACTGGGACTTGCATGCTTCGACTTCGAGCTGTGACTTTTACTCTGTTGACTAGCCAGCGGGTCAGTGAAACTTCATAAAATCAAAACTAAATAAATGTTTCGCTCCCAGCCTCATGGCTATCAGAAATGTCAAGTTCTAACATATGTTGGTTCCAGCTAAAAGGAAAGCAAATATTGAATGAGCTATTAACTTTTATTCTCAGGTTTACTTTAAACTATTATTTCCCAAATGACTTTTGTACACTTAATCCTAGTGGGGTGGGGTGGGGCAATTAAAAAAAAATTCAGTGGCTCAGTGGTTGAGCGTCAACCTATGAACCAGGAGGTCACAGTTCGATTCCCAGTCAGGGCATACGTCCGGGTTGCAGGCTCGATCCCGGATCATGCAGGAGGCAGCCAATCAACGATTCTCTCTCATCACTGACATTTCTATCTTTCTCTCCCTCTCCCTTCCTCTCTGAAATCAATAAAGATATATTTGTTTGAAAAAGAATTCTGTGGCCAGGGAGAGGTCAATGGGGAAAAAGGAGACATATGTAATACTTTAAACAATAAAGAATTTAAAAAAATAAAAGGATTCTGTGGCTAACCGGTTTGGAAAATGACGTAAATTATTGTCACTTCTGAGAAAATTACAATAAACATTGGCAATTAAAGACTTGGAAAAGCCCTGTAGTCAATAAACTTGTTAGCTCTGTTGGACCTGTAATTCCCCTTTTATATCCAGTACCACAACCTTCTTCCGGGTCA